CTCGAAGGCCACCACAATGGTCGCATTCTCCGGTTGAGGGCCTATTTGACCCTTTTCTCTAAAATATATAATTATAAAAATAATTAAATATGATACATATAATAAACTAACATAAAGTATATATTTCATACTAATTAGAATTAAAAGGGTAAAAATAAAAATTATGCAAGGAAATCTTACAAAACCTAAGAGATATAAGGGAATTACATACCCTTCAAAAACCAATGTGGATGGAAATATGGAATGTTACATTCCTTAGAAAATGTTATATTCCTTTGGATAAATAATAACTTGAACCAAATACAGGAATGTGACGTTTTATATATCTTGCATCAAACGAACCCTAAGTTGTCAGAATAGATATTTGAATACATTTTCTATGACAATTTTTATTTAATTTCATAATCCAATCAAACAACTGTGACCAAATGCCACACTAGTTCTTTAGCTACATAATGTTGCAAGGGAAAATAACACTTAACTTATATTCCTAAGTTATAACCATATTATAGATTTAACCCCTTAATTATTCATAATATAAAGTCCTCAATTATTATTAAAATGACAAATTTGTTCACTAAGAAACCAAATCTACCAATTCATTAAGTGGCATATTAATATTGTATTTGGTCTCCAAATGACAATGATGACTTACCAAACAATTGGGACTGATTTCACGCCTCATGGAAGGCTGTTGAGAATAAGCTAACTAAGCACCATTCACGTTGTATCATACTTTAGATTAAAATCGGTATAAAACAACAATCTTTACGAATACAAACACCCGCGCTGGAGAGTAACACAGAATAGTTCCTATCCAAAGTGGATAAAGCTGTAAACTCTTTCAACATGAAACTACCACACAACTGATCATCCAGCTGACAAATTCCAATGCAAAGCTTTTAAAGTCGCAGTTATTTCACTCTTGCAGCTTTCATGATGCTTGCGCTTTCCCTTCTGCAGCCTCTCCCTCGACTTTAGGTTTCTCAATTATTGTCTCGGGAGCACTCTCTTCGGGCTTAGTGGCTTGCTCTGTGGTAAGGTAACAACAGATGCTCAGAGTAAGCCATATTATGCTAGAAATGGTAAATAAAATACAAACTAGAACTACTGCCTATGGAAGATGAAACAAATGGATCACTAATTCAGTATAGAAATGTCCATTACCCAAAAGATACAGCTACTATGAGTCTATGAATCCAGCATGATCAAAATTGAGCACATTTCAATAGTAATATTACATTTCTGAAACACAGTACTAGTCAACAAGTGTAACAAAAAGATTCAATTACCTTCATCATCACTGTCATCAAAGTCATTCCCCATGGCATCATCTCCCATGCCCATGCCAGGCATACCCATGCCACCCATGCCGGGAATGCCCATGCCACCCATGCCGGGCATGCCCATGCCACCCATGCCGGGCATGCCCATGCCCCCCATGCCTGGCATGCCCATGCCACCCATGCCTGGCATGCCCATGCCACCCATGCCGCCCATATCACCAAATTTCTGAAGAATACAGCAATGAGAATAAACATTATACAATATACATACAAGCAAAAGAACCAATCAAATCAGGCATAGTGAATAAGAAAAAGGTTGTCTCACCGAGAAATCCATCCCGCCCAAATCAAGATCACTTGGAGGACCTAAACAAACCATAAGATGGGAACCAATCATACTCCTGGGGTGTTTCCAAGACAAAAAAAAAAAGTTATAAAAAGGATCTAGGAGTTGAGATAATTAATACCATTGTCTTCATCTTCATCCACCCACTTGTCCCAATCTACTTTCACATAGTGTGGTGGCTTGCCCTCACGCAATAGTTTGTTCCACCATTTCTTCTCTTCTTTTTCCAAAACACAGAAAATGTTTCTCACACCAATATTAATCTTGCTCTCCTGTGAAATGAAGATATAGTTGAATGTTAAATTAATTAGTGCCAAGAAAGTAAAACAATGAACATTTTGAGTTACAATACCAAAGAAGCTTAGTGGCATAAAATTTATTTAAGCTATTTAATCAAGGAATGAATTGTACAGTTGTACCTCAACATTAACTTTGTCTTGAAGCTCAATTTTGAACTCATAGAGATGGTTTTCTGCCCCAGCTGTGGCCGAGAATGTAAACACACCCTCTGGCTCAAGATTCACTTTTGGATTTTTTGCATCTGCTAACAAAACTGTAATATAGATCTTGTCTTCCCTTTGGGCCCATTTCACCTCAGGATGCCGGCTGGAAAAATGTTAGCCGTTAGAAAATTGCTTAAGATGGAAACATGGAGAACAGTACACACAAGTGACGTGAAATGAAAAGTTATTAATCCCACAAACATACATCCATGAAAAGATTCTCATGTTGTGAAACATCCACATACAATAGCAAATCATACAGTATGTACACATGCCAACTAAAGGGAGAAAGTGAATGTAAAAATGGGTTTCCCTTTAACCCCAGTTAACACCAAACCGCCCTGTTCTTAAACAACTACACAACGGTTAGATAAATTCTAATCCTGATGAATGCATCTGATCAACAACACCAAAGAAACAGATCGAGTAAACACTTTCAACATTATATATTGAACAATTGACTCTTAAATGAAACAAAATCCTAAAGTAGAAACATGAAAACAAAAACATTCGTGCTGCCGTAACAACAGGCTCCCAAATCTAGCAACAGAGTCATTCCTCCCAATCCCATTTAATCACGCACTTCTAAGCGATCCATAATGGCATCTTCTTTCCCCATTTGAGTTACTTACTACTGCCCTAAACATAAATCCACAGTCAAACTATAGAAATCCTTCGACCATGACTATTAATTGAGCTTCAAAAAGGAAATATTATAAACATAATACGATGAAAATGAAGATTTGTTCCATATACGTCAACATTAAGCCATGTTCCATATAAGTTAAAAGGAATCAGAACAGACGAGCGGAAAGCTGAAAAAGTGATAAATACGAAGAAGGTTACGAAGATAGTGAAGAAGAGATTACCTCATCTTTGAACTTCGCCTGTACGGTAGACTCTGACGGTGAGGAAGAGGAAATGGAAAACCCTAGAAGTAAAAAGTCACTCTCACTGAATCCCGATTAAACCTCAGAGGAGATTTTATTGGGTGTAGCTGCAACTAACTGAGGGCATTGGTATCTTTATCCAACGGCTAGAGTTCATCCACGAAAGACACTATAGACGGGCTCGTTACTGAAATGTGGCCCAATACGATTTTATTTATTTATTTTTTTTTTTTGCAAAATCTCAATATGATTTTTTTTCTTTTTTTTTTTGAAACAAAAAGAGTTCTATAAATTATAGAGCATTGGTATTTTTTGACACAGGTCCCACCGGGAGTCGAACCCAGGTCGCTGGATTCAAAGTCCAGAGTGCTAACCACTACACCATGGAACCAATTTAGGCCAATATCAAGTTAAAAACCAAACACTGGTTCAATTGTTATACCATGAATCAAGGTTCATATTGTATTGTAAACTCTAATTTAAAAATTATAATTATATATCTTAAGTTAGTACATTTTCGCATGCATTTAATAATTTTTGTATTGTAAATAAATGAAAGACACAACATGATAATCACAGACATATGATATGATAACTACACTCACATAAATTATTAATTGGAGTTACAGAATATGTTAATTGCAGACACATAAAATATTGGTTTAACATGTTATGTGTCTACAGTGAACATATTTTGTACTTGTAGTTAACAGTTTATGTATTTGTAGTTAGCATGTTATGTATTTGTAATTACCATATGAAGTGTCTTTAGTTTGTTTATAGACACAAGAACAATTAACTGCATGTACTAAATGTGTTAGCTGCAGGTACATAATTTGAAAATTATTTTTGGATCAGAGTTCAGAATGCAAGATAGACCATGATTCATGGTATAATTTGCCTAGATGGTTGGTGAAAATAAATTATTAAGAATATTGATTTCATTGTTTGGTTGGGTTTGGAATTGTAAGGAATAATGAGTATAAAGAGAACTATACATTACACAATAATAATAACAATAATAATAATAGTAATTAAAAAAAATTGGTGAGGACATAATTGTCCTACTTGTTTTTCATGTAAAACAAATACCTTGAGGAAGCCATGTAAAATGTTTTTCTCATTCTTGAAGAAAATGTTTTCCAATAAAAAATATTTTCTATGAACCAAATAAAAGAAATGCAATTTTCCTCAAATTCAAGGAAAACATTTTCGTAAGAAACTATTTTCCAACAAACTAAAAATGCCATTATTATTATTATTTTAATAGTTAGAAGGAAATCTTTATTATTCTAAGTGTCTAAGAGGTCACACATTCTACAAATTAAAGAACAAAAGAACAGAATTTGTATTATGTAAAACTTCACATTTAAGAAGTATTACTACAGAAGAAGTAATTACCAGAAGTATAAAATAAAATAAAGATATAAGTACACAAATGGACACTTTAAAGACTAAACAATATAGAAATATGAAGATTTAAAAAATCAATATTTTTAACAAAATTGTACAACCCTTTTAAAATTGACCAAAAGTCCAAACCCTGTAGACTCACAAGTCACAAGACTCATGCAAATGAAAAATAAGTTTTAGCCTAGTAGGACCATAGCATAGGTTTGTTCCGTTATAACCATTGCAATAAACTCCAACTATATATCATAAGATCAAGTTTAATGATGGTCTGCTCTGTCGGACCGGGATGTGGAATCGGGAGACTTTTAGGATTGGAGATTCAACATTTTGAAAGAAGTTTAATGATTCTTTTTTTTTTTTTTTTTCAAAATCAAATGGAGTATTAGATTTTCAATAGGAGAAAAATTAGCCAAATTGTTAGCATTGATTAATAATCCTTAAATATAGTTAACATCCCTCAGGAAACAGGGAACATATCTATTCTATTCATCATCTATGGATCCAATTTCTCTTATAAAATAACCCTAAACTCATCATTTTGCCGCATTTAGTTCATAATAATATGAACAAACTGTTCTCTAATCCGCTATTTCCAGCTGGTGTTAGTGTTCTTCTTGTTGACGATAATGCTACCTGTCTCCGAATACTAGAAGCTTTGCTACTCGCATGCCACTACAAAGGTGCCTTTCTTCTCTTCTTCAATTTCTTCAATTCTTCACCATATATTTCTGTACCTAAAAGATAGGATATACTGTTTGCCTTGCCTGCAGTGGTGAAATGTGGAGGGGCGATAGATGCTTTGAGAATCCTTCGAGAGGGTAAAGAGGAGATCGACATTGTTTTAAGCGAGCTACACATGTCTCGCGTCAATGGATTCAAGCTTCTCGATCGAATAATCGGACTGCAAATTGACCTCCCTGTTGTGAGTAAGCACTTTTGATTATTTCATCTCATTACTATTCCCAATCTATAAGAAATTCTGGAAATTAATTTGGCTTAATTGATCAGTGATCTCGAGTGAGGAGAGAGTCGATGCAATAAAGAAGATAGTGATCCAGGGGGCGTGTGGATACTTACTAAAGCCGGTGAGGAAGGAAGAAATTAAGCTCTTATGGCAGCATGTTGTTCGTCACAAACAGCAGGGGAATTGGGGGAAGGGCATAAGGCCGCCGCCGCTGCCGCCTGCGGCGGCGGCGGCCGGTGAGATGCCGCCGCAGCAGAAAAGTGTAGAAAACTGTGAAAGCTCAAACAATAATAGGGATGAAGATACTAATGCTACGGCTACTACGGCCGACGTTAAGAAACTGCGATTTGTGTGGACACCACAGCTTCACCAGCAATTTGTCGATGTTGTTAATCAAATTGGTCTTAGAAGTATGAATCTATTGGCCTTTAGTTTTCTTATTATTGCATTCATATTTTCTATTTCTTCTAATTAGTTTGATCGCTTCATCTATTGGGTTAGATGCCGTTCCAAAGAAAATATTGGATTTGATGAACGTTCCCCATCTAACCAGAGCAAATGTTGCCAGTCATCTCCAGGTACATCTATATATCCCACTTTTGATAGAATTCAATTGCATTGCAACACTACTTGCAACTCTGTTTTCATTGAGGTGAAAGAGAGATCGATAATGATTGTAAATTTAATGATATAACATTTTGAAAGTGAGATAATTTACTAAACCTAATAATGTAGAAATATCGGATTCAACTACAAAGGGATGGGGATCAGAAATCACACAAGAAGTTGAGCATTCATCACTTCCATTATGAAGACATGGTGTTGAACAATGAACAACAAGCCGTGACGCCGACGGTGTTCGATCATCTCGGCGGTGGCGACTATAACTATGTTAATGTTTACAACTATGGCGGCCTATGCCGACGGGTAAGAGGTAGTCCAACCATAGATAACATTCTCAATACAACAACTACGACTGTGGACGCTGTCATCCTGCAATCCCAACCGTATACCGGAAATAATTATCCCAACCAGTTGGGAAGTGCTTCCAGCATGCTTCGCCAACAAGATCACACCCAGGTTTGTACTTAATTACGGAGTACTTTTAAACCATCTCACCCTTTGACCCTTACTAAATAATTTTTTTTTTTTTTTTAAATGACATATGCCACCGAACTTATTACTTTTGTCTAATTGAGTTATTAAAATTATCCAATTGAGTTATTAAAAAGTGTGCAATCAAATTATCAAACAAAAGAAAATATGTGCAATTGGAATTGCGGCATTTAGTTTTGCAAAGCAAAATCTATTTCAATAGCAAAGACTTTTTCTATAAAAAAAAATATCTAAAAATTTAAGCAAAACAAAATAGTAACACTCATCTCAAAATATTGAAGAATTTTATATCTACTCATTATTTTTCTATTTTGTGTGTTGCAGTACAATGGCGAAGAAGGAGATTTTGGAGTCTCCTTGTACGATTTTTCTGGCACAGATAGTAATTAGTTTGGAGAATTACTAAACATAACTTGTATGATATAATTATGTCTATACCTATAAGGTTTTTATTTTTTTTGAAAAGATAAGGTTAATATTTAATTTAGTGATATTATACCTCTCTTCCTCAATTATCCTAATTATCCTAATTACAAGTAATAAGGGAAAGTACAACATCGAACATAAATGTCCTCAATTATCCTAATTACTGGTGTTTTGTAAATGACTGGTAGTTGATTGGATTAGTGAGTTTACCATTAGCTTATTATAGAAAAGTGTTTGGTAAATTAATTGCTAGGTGTTAGCTAATTACATACAGCTAATTACATACAAAATGATTTTATAAAACGTTGATTGAAAAAGTTACTTTGAACAGCATTTTGAAACAATAAATTGTTACAAAAAGTTAATTAATCAAATACTCATATTGATTGTTTAAGCCAAAATTGATTGATTATGCTCACTATTTTACCAAACCCAACACAAATTTCTTATTAACTACTCTATATCATATATCAAATATTAATTTAAATATCATTGAAAATGACAGATGTATTTATGTAAATATGTTTAGCCGTCGAACTAAATCAAAAATCAATGTCATTTTTTTTTTCTTCATTTGACACATAATTGTATATAGATCTTATGATTTAAGATTTTAAAGAAAACTAACAACCTACCAAAAATTAGTCTTTTTGGAGGAAATTTTTCGAGGAAAACATGTTCTCAGCAGATGGACGAGACGATTGACTAGCAGTAGATGGACTGGACGAGGACGATTGACTAGCAGTAGATGGACTGGACGAGGACGATTGACTAGCAGTAGATGGACTGGACGAGGACGATTGACTAGCAGGCAGTAGATGGACTGGACGATTGGACGATTGACTAGCAGTAGATGGACTGGACGAGGACGATTGACTAGCAGGCAGTAGATGGACTGGACGATTGGACGATTGACTGGCAGTAGATGGACGGACGATTGACTAGCAGCAGATGGATGGACGATTGACTAGCAAAATCAGATGGACGGACGATTGACTATCAGCAGATAATGGACATGGACGATTATGGACATGGACGATTGACTAGCAGCAGATGGACAGACATGACGGACATGATTGACTAGCAGCAGATAGGGGTGGGAATAGGTCAGGCCCCTTGCAGGGGCCTATGTCCTGGCCTAATTAAAGCCTAGTTAGGCCTAGCTCGTTTAGTAAAAAGGTCAGGCTTGAGCCAATTTCAAAGCCTATTAAACTAAACAGGCCAGGCCTATATATACCAGGCTCGGCTTCAGGCCTACGGGCCTGGCCTAAATATATATATATATATATATATATATATATATATATATATATATATATATATATATATATATATACCAAACCCTAACCCTCCACCTCCAAAATCTCATTTTAAATTATGATTCGACTATAAACATTGCTGTTAATCCTGTTATAAATGTTCTTATTGTGTAATTTTTTTTATTAACTGTTCTTACTATCATAATATTTAATGATATGTGCAACTTAATTATGTGGGTTGATTGTTAATTATTTATGATATTATATAGGATAACAAACAATAATACAATTGAATTTATTTCTAAACAAGTTAACGAGCATGCTGAAGTTGTGACTTGTTTTATATTTATTTGCTATTATGTTTGCATTGTAATAATATACTTATGTAATTATGTATTAGTTTTGTATTAGGTACATTTCTTATATTATTTAGATATACTAAAGGTTTTAAAAAGGCTTAACAAGTAGGCTTTAATAGGCTCAAGGTAGGACTTACTTTGAAGCATTTTTAATGACCTAAATATTAAAAAGGCTTCAAGTCAGGCGAGGCTAATTGCAGGCTCAGGCTTGAGCCTAACAAAAAGCCTACATACAGGCTCAGGCCCAGGCTTTAGATTTTCGTAACAGGTCCAGGCCTAATTTTCCAAAGCTCGGCTCGGCCTATTTCCACCCCTAGCAGCAGATGATGGACATGATTGACGATATGGACATGATTGACTAGCAGCAAATGGACGGACGATTGACTAGCAGCAGATGATGGACATTGGAGCAGATGATGGACATGATTGATTGACTAGCAGCCAATGATGGACATTGGAGCAGATGATGGACATGATTGACTAGTAGCAGATGGACAGACGATTGACTAGCAGCAGATGATAGACATTCGACATGGACTAGCAGGTTTTCAGATGGACGGACGATTGGCTAGCAGCAAATGATGGACGGACGATTGACTAGCAGCGAATGGACGATTGGAATAAGATGACTAGCAGCAAATGGACGGACGATTGACTAGCAGCAGATGATGGACATGATTGATTGACTAGCAGCAGATGATGGACATTGGAGCAGATGATGGACATGATTGACTAGTAGCAGATGGACAGACGATTGACTAGCAGCAGATGATAGACATTGGACATGGACTAGCAGGTTCTCAGATGGACGGACGATTGACTAGCAGCGAATGGACGATTGGGATAAGAATTTGACGCATACCTTCCCCATTTTGTTAATGGCATAGATTGTTGTTTATTTTCAATCTTTGAAGACTAATATATTAATTCTTAATATACAAATTATTAATATATATTATTCATTTTAGCATTATTATGGAAAAGTAATTACTCATTTACTATTACTATTTATTATTAATTATTATTTTTTATAGAAATTATTATCGATTATAGAAATAATAGTTTGACAATTTTTAAATTAATATTTGTATATAATTTCCAGCCTTTTTTTTTTATTTTTGAAAACTATATAATTTTCAGTTATTTGATCTTATAACAATCCGAATTCTACATCTAACATGTGTTTTTAATCTATTTAGTTTACATTATTAGTGTAATATATATAGGAAAGTTTAGGTAAAAATATGTTCCATGTAAAAAGAAAAAATTGATATGAACCCTCCATTTGGGTAGATCATGACATAACATAATTAGGAAAAAGTAAATATTTTAAATTGTTTTTACCAATGTACAACATTATAAACTATTATGAAAACTCTTAAAAATATTTTGATAATTTGTTATCTGGATTTAAATTTGAGTTGTATTATCCATTATTGTATTATATAAAATTAAAAAAATATTATTTTCATTCCAAATTTTTTGCTAATATTTCCTGATGATGTGGCTTATAATTAATAAGAAGAGAAAATTTAAGTCTTGATCTTATGACTATTAGGGTGTTTAATTGTAGTTTATGGGTTTAAAATTTTTTCTTAATTTTTCTTAATTTTAGTAACTCCGAACAAATTACCAGCTAAAATAAATTATTAAATTACTGACTAAAGTTATCAAAAAAATTTAATTGACCATATTATATTTAATCACAGAGACAATTTTGTCTTTTCATATTTATGCGAAAAGGGAAAAGCTGATTTGAGTCTATTCTAATTCGTCTGAGCCCTAATAAGAAAAGCAGCGTATGAAGAAGAAAGAGAAGAACGGGGAATCAGTCTTCAGTATCACTTCTATGGATAGATATTAGGATCTACACCTTATGCACAAAGTTGTTGTTGTTGTTGTCTTTTTTTTTTTTTTTTTTTTTTTGATATACTTACGTACAAAGTTTAATTTAATCAAATTAAGGAATTATATTCAGACCAAGACTTGAGGGTTTAGCTACTCTATATTAGGCAAAACCAGTGTGCAGTGGAACCAATCCGTATCCTCGTGAATCAAACACTAACCACCCTTAAGGTTGGGATTCAGCATTTTAGAAGAATGAGTCAAACACTAACCACATATATATAACCTTTATTTTCTCTTTGCTTGGAATTTCTGGTGCTGACAGCAAAAGCTTAGACAAATTAGAATAGGCTAAAATCAATTTTTCCCTATTCACATAAATATAAAAAGACAAAATTACTCTTTTGATTAAACATAATATGGTCAATTAAATTTTTTCGATAAATTTTAGCCGATAATTTGATCGAAGTGATTGAAATTGAGAAAAATTGAATAGTTACGGTATTAACTTGCAAGCCTGATCCTATCATTTTATAGGCCCGGCACGTAGCCACAAAAATGAGCCCTTCATGAAATTAATATATATTTTCATAACTAAAATTAATTTAAATAATGAAAATAATGTTAATGCCAAATAATTTGAAATAAAATTTACAAGTTTTTAATAATTTTAAATAAATACATAATAATAATCATGAAATAATAATTATTGAGAGCAATAAAGCAAAACGTGATAAAATATATTTATAAAAAATATTAAACATAATTAATTTGATAAAATAGTTTGAATAGAAAATATATTTTACATTACACATCTTCTCCACTGATCTCATATTTATAAATATATATTTTTCTTTGAAAATAAAGAAGCTAATTCATTAATCATAGGCTGAAACGTTTACAATAAAGATTGATGAAATGATCAAACATTCCTTACAGTCAGATACTATAAAAATAACTTCCCTAGCAATGCTATAGAGAACTTGATTCGCAAACTGTTTCACAAATTTGAAGCCGGATTCTTGGACGAACTTAAAGCTTCTTTAATGATATGATCATACGTACCCAAGACTGAATCTGGTTGAATAGTCTTATACACCACCTGAGTATCTATTTCCATTCTTCTATCCATTGACAATATCTAGGATGAGGTTCAGATGAGTCTCTTTTTCATTGTCATGTTTGTCACCTAGGATGAGGTTCACATACGTAATGACCAGTTTTATTGTTTCACGCTTTATGAAAATGAACTTGCCAGGTAAATATTTTTTTTTTGTTTTAGTTAGATAAATTTCAAAATTTTCTAGATTAATTTGAAAATGATGATGCACAATAGAACTTTTAAATTACATTAACTAGACAATTCATAAAAAAGTAAACTATCTTTTAAAACATTTTCATAACCAAATCGTCACAAAATACATACGAGTGCTACATATACATAACTCATTATAAAATTAACAAAATAACACATGTTCTAAATATAAGTAGCAAATTTCTCGATAGAAATAAATTCAAAATTTTATATGAATCACGAATCAATTAA